AATGGACCTGTTGGGGTATTTGAATGGGAAGCTTTTGCCAGGGGAACCAAGTCCCTCATGGATGAGGTGGTAAAAGCCACTTCTAGGGGTTGCATCACTATCATAGGTAAGGGGTCCTGTACTAAACTCACACTAATGCAACATGACTGAGCTGTATTCCGAGGGGGCATGTGGTTAATATTTTCTGGGTCTCGTTATGGGTAAATCTCTAGCTGATAGTTCATGGAGGTATCAATCATAGGGGATCCTCGTGATTGAGTGGGGGTGGGAGTTTATTAGCTACATTTTGGGTTGGGAACCACACTGTTTTACAGTTTGGGTGCCCAAACATTTTTCTCCGGTCTTCATTCAACAGGTGGTGGAGACACTGCCACTTGCTGTGCCAAATGGAATACGGAGGATAAAGTCAGCCACGTGAGCACTGGGGGTGGTGCCAGTCTCGAGCTCCTGGAAGGTGAGGTTGTTTTGTGTTTATTTGAAGGCAGGGTGGGGACCAGTGGAGAGCTCCAGCAGTTGTCACAAAGAGCAGTCATATTAGTTAGGTAGCACAAAGCACTTGCATCCACTTGGCGGGAGGGGTAGGTAGGAACACGTTTTAATTGACCTGGGACCCAGAATGCTGGGGTTTTTGAACTCCTGCCCTATAACCTAACAGAGCTGGCATTTTATCAGGAAGACAAGGGCAGATGTAACTCAGTGGGTCTTACAGTAATGCTGTCTGTGTGTGTGCTCTCTCAAAAACAGGTAAAGTCCTTCCTGGGGTGGATGCTCTCAGCAATGTTTAGTATTTTCCTGCCTTTTGGTTCCTGTGCACAGCCCCTAAGTCAACTTAGTGTGTTTTCCGCATCTCCATTTGGTGTTAGCGCAAGATTCAGCTAGTGGCCGAGATGCAGCACCAGGAACCCTTAAACAGTTGCACAGCATCTCAGCTCGTCTTTACTGCATCGGGATTTGTCTACATTCTTCAAGATCCCATTTAAGTTCCTTAGTGACTAAACCATTGTGCATTCTAGAGTGCATCTATTTATATTCTGCCTGTAAAAGAAAGGGAGCTGTAAAAGCTTAGCTCTCTTGGAGTAGTCTCTGGTTAGCTTTGTCACCGTTCATGACTCGGCATGGAAATGAGATGAAATTCCAGCTGTAGGTTTGGAGAAGTTGATGATGATTAATAAAGATGTCCACCGAAACGAGTTTTCCTGTCATGCTTTGTTAGGAAGGGTCAGAATAGAATCTGGATTTTTGAATGGAAGGATTGGGGCTGCAGTAGTGGGGAGGTGGGAATAGATAAATGCCTGCTCCTTATGAAGGCCTATTCTTGCTTTTGCCTTTTTTTCCATATAAATGTTGGATATCGTAATTTCAAAAGCCTAGCCTTATAAACAAAACCAACCCAAAGAAGCCCCAGCTCATTCTTCCCATTCTTGATTCCCATTTCCTAGTGTGACCATTGTTTTTCTTCTTGATTCCTATCTCATGTCTGTTAATTTTGTAGTTTGAAGAATGGAATCAACAGCCTCTGTTCCACATACACTTCCTCTTTCTCAGTGTTGTTTGCCATTGCTATAAATTAGATCAGAAATTTACATTATGAAGGATCTGCGCATGGTGTTTGCTTGTAATCCGACCACATGGGTAGCAAGGACAGAAGTTCAAGGGAATCCTTGGCTACATAGTGAGTTAGAGGCCAGTCTCGTGTATATGAGATCCTGTCTTAAGCCCTAAGGTTTACATGATGATTATAAGTGCTATAAGTATATGTATATAGTATGCTATTTTGTCATTTTAATTTACTTTATAATTAACAAATTTTTCTGGCTGGGCATGATGCACATATTTTGATCTTAACACATCATAAATTCCACATTAACCAAAGCTACAAAGTGAGATCGTATCTCAAAATAGAAAAATAAAATGATTTTCTCTCTCTCTCTTTTTTTTTTTTTTTTTTGGTTTTTGAGACAGGGTTTCTCTGTACAGCTTTGCTCCTTTCCTGGAACTCACTCTAGCCCAGGCTGGCCTTGAACTCGCAGAGATCCGCCTGGCTCTGCCTCCCAAGTGCTGGGATTAAAGGCGTGCGCCACCACCGCCCGGCAATTTTCTCATTTTTTACAGGACTGATTCATTCCAACATCCATTAAAAGTATGAACATTAACTATATTCAAACATATCAGATTTTTTTTGAGTTTAGAAATCTGTTCTGGAATCCTTAGTGCCTCTCTGCTCCAGTTTCACTGGCTGCCCTAGGTTTGGTGTATACTTGTTGCTCAGGGCTTTCCTGTGTCCCTCTGGGGAGGGTTCTTGTCACCTTGGAAACCCATTTCTCCCTCTTTCTCAGTTATTTTTTTTTTTGAGAGTTAATTGTATCTCAGTTTACTCTTGACTTAATTGTGTCTCAGTTTACTTGTTTTTTTGAGAGTTAATTGTGTAGACCTGGCTGGCCTGGAATTTGCTATCTAGCTCAGGCCGGCCTTGAACTTGCAGTGATCCTTCTGCCTTTGCCCCTGGAGTGCTGATGGTAGGAAAACAATCACCATGCCTGGCTAATTTACTTTGTATGAAATCTGGACTTAATTACTTCCTGAGAAGGACTGCCAAGGAGGAAGTGCTGAGCATTGGTCTGAAATAGCTGTTATCTGGCCATGCTTTTGTATCTATGGGGAATTGGGTCTAGGTATCTCCAATACCAAACTGCTGATGCTCATTCTTTCTTATAAAACGTAGTATTTCCTTAAAACCTGTGTACAACCTCTCATGCTTAAAGTACCTGACATTAGATCATCTCTTAAATACCAAAGAAATTACAAAGTCTATGTTTAATATAGATACTGGTGTTTGTCTACTTATTACCCTTGGTTATGTAGACATGATGGTGTATATAGTTAGAGCCTGAATTTCATTTTTTAAAGATTTATTTATTATGTATACAGCATATATAACTGCAGGCCAGAAGAGGGCACCAGATGGTTGTGAGTCACCATGTGGTTGCTGGGAATTGAACTCAGGACCTCTGGAAGAGAGAGCAGTCAGTGCTCTTAACCTCTAAGCCATCTCTCCAGCCCCCAACATCATTTTTATCAGAGTTGAAGGCATTGTTTCATTGCCACTGTCAAGTCTAACTTGGCAGTTGCTTCAGCAGAGATTGTGAAAGCTCTAGTTAGGTCCTAAATTCTTTGGCATTCTAGTTTATATGCTTCTCCATATTTGTTTCCATATTCCTAAATACAGTATTAGACAGACCTGGTTTGAGCAGCAGGAATTTTAGTCCAGTCTTTGTAGGTGAGGATCAGAGATGTAGCAAGTGAACATTTCTGTTGTTGGACTAGAACTTTAGCTGATGATCCCCCTTGCCACACACACTACCTTTTCTTCATTACTTTTATTTCAAGTACATAGAAGTTGAAAGAACTATAAATAAATATCCATGCATTTAGTTCTTAATACTATAATTGACAGCACCCCCTTTCAATTTTTCATTGTATCTTTTAAGTACTTTATGAGGGTTTTCTATTTACAAAGTTCCTTCAATTTTTGGACTTTATGTGTGTGGGTTTTTTCTATTTCCAGGGTTTCCTATTTACGAAGTTCCTTCAGTTTTTGGACTTTATGTGTATCGGTCTTTTGCATACATGTACATCTGTGAACATGTATGCAGTGGTGTGGAGACCAGAATAGGTTGATGGAGTTACAGATTGTTGTGAGCTGCTGTGTAGTTGCTGGGAATCCAACCAGGGTCCTTTGAAGAATCAGCCCAGTGCTCTTAACTACTAAGCCACCTCTCCAGCCCCCTATTTATATATTTAATACAGAGAATGAATAGAGAAACTCCAGTTTAAAAGAAAAGGTGCCTTGGCAAGCAACCAATTATTGCAGTACCACTGTGTACTTTGGACACAGTGGAGGGAACAGAAGATAGGAACTTAAAACCTAGTCAAAGGAGATACCCAGGAACAAACTGTTCCTGTACATGTAAATTTGAATAGTGTAACTCCATAAAATGTTGAAAAGGCACAGATTTTAAATAGTAAAATCACTTTCAGTCCCCTAATATGTCCACAGAATCCCCACGCTGTAAATGAGGAATTCAAATTTTGGGTTTTGGGGAGCTGTGCTATAAGAATTATGCTATAGTTCAGGATAGCTTCAAACTGATCCAGCCAGAGCCTCCCGAGTGCTGGATTTATGCATCACCACTCCCAGCTTAAATATAATTATTAGCTCATTGTTTCCTGCTTTTTCAATATCCAGTTTCCCCTGGCATAGATTTACATACATATAATCAAAAGGGGTATACAGTGAGAAGTCACCTTCCTACCTGTCCTCTGCCTTCACTCCCCAATGACCCTTCCCAAGACCAGTTATAGTTCAGTACAGAGCTCTATACAAATTCCACCAAAGACAGCATCTTAAGTTTGTAAGATTTTAAACCCATATTTGATTTTTTATTGATTTCTTTGCCGTGAGTCATGCCAATTCCTAGCAAAAGCAAGCGGTCCCCTGATACAACATCAGGAGATCTGAATTGCTATACTGATGCCTTATTCACTTTCCTTGAATCCATTCAGTCACAAATGAAGTCACTGATAAAGTTAGATTTTTATTAATAACCTTGGAACAAATACATTAATAATTACTTATATAGCTTTTACAATCTTGAACTTTCTCACACAGACACGCACACACAGAGACACACACCAGCCAAACCCTCACAACATCCCTGTGAGGTAGGCAGGGTAGGTGTTATTTCTTTCCCTATTACTAGTGAGAACAAGGCTCAGAGGTAAAGTAAGGTCACATGGTTGGCAAATGAAACTAGCACTAGAACCTAGGCCACCCGATCTGCTTCCCTGAGAACATTCAAGTAGTCATCCGTGCTGTAGAATGCACGTTTCTCATGACATTGACCAGATCAACTTTCCCGAACATTCCTGAACATTCCAACTGTGATGAGACATTTCTGTCTTGTTACTGTACTACTTTTCTTGTGTCAAACACCATCCTATGCACTTATTTGATGACCCACGGCTATAAAATCTAAATAATGTGAAGGTTCTGGAAAGCTCTGCTTACATTTTTCCAGTGTTGGCCATGTGGAACTTAACTCCAACCAAATCAAACAGTTCTTTTTATACTCTCAAAAAAGCGTCTGCAGTCTTTCCCGATGAGTCTTGTAGGTATGTATAAAAACAAGATAGAAAGTGTCTAGAAACATGGTTGGAGAATTCCTGTAGGGCATGTGTAAATGAGTCAGGTGACAGTAGTCTGTTTTTCCTGGTGGCCTGATGGGGAAGGAGGATCATTAGACTACTCTCAGGCTAGATCTACCCATCTCCCGTTGACACCCTCAGCAGCAAGCTAGAAAGAGGATCTGAATGAGACCAGTGGACTGCTTCAAGCAGTAGTGACCAAGGCGTCTATGCAGGTGGGAAGAAAACAAACAAAAACACTTGCTCTTCAGTGATTTTTGTCTGGGTCCAGTGTAAATTACCAAGGCAGGTTTCGTGTTATGTCTGTTAAATTATAAACATGAAAGATGGTGAAGTTACCTGGGAATGTAACTGCCTGTCACTGAGTAAAGCTTAAGAGGCATGGAAGGCAAGGGCTGAGACCCAGCTGCCCTGTTAGTGGAGTGACAAGTTGCAAATGCAGACACTCAGGTTCAAGTGAACTACAGAATGTCAGGCATACAGGGCGTCTGACAAATTCCAGTTCCAGCCTTTTACATGCAAGTGCCATGGCGAGTGACTTAAGGCGGTGAGCGGTGGGGACAGGAAACGGATGGGATCTAGATAGGGAGCTGAGGTGGGGCGTTAGCAAAGACCGAAACCCAAATACATTCAAAATGGATTTAGCACCCTTCTAAACCCACTGTTTCAAATCAAAAGTTTACTAATTTCAGAGATTTGGTCAGTCAAAGAGGTGATAATGTGAATCGTTCACCTAACAAAAGAAAGTCATGTAAAGGAGACCAGGAACTGAAATCCAAGTGCTGCTGTCAGAGACTCATGGCGCAAAACTGCTTCTAAAAATAGAATTGCCATGGCGAGACTCAACATTAATGAAGCTGTCTAGAAACAAGTACTTGTATACCTGAAGCCTACTCAGAAAACATTTGTACAGTTAACAAAACCTACCAGGTATCACTACTGTGAAAAATATTGTCACTATATTTATTTCTAAGATAAAATGTATGAAGACCTAGGCTGTCTGGTCCACCATGTGGGCCCAAACGCACTCAACTTTTAATGGATGGAGAACAGACTTTATTCCTTACATAGTATCATCATCATCGTCATCATCATGCTTCCTCTTCAGTGGGTTTGAGTCACTGGCTGTGTTCTGTGAGGAAACCATATTGGTGGTAATGAGAATATTTTTGGACCCAATCATTGAAGGATTAATCAGAACATTTTGGACTGCCGTCGTTGCAGGAGCTATAAACAGAAGAAAAGCCCCACAGATAATCAATTACTCACGGTCCCAAAGTAGACAACAAAGCAGAATATAATTTTTATACAAGCTTCAACAGCACAGCACACAACTAAACCATAGAAGAGATACAAGTAATTACTAAGAGTGGGTTTCAATCTTTAAACATTCTTGTCTTAAATTTGCTAATAGAGATTTTATCAGGCGTAAGGATGTTTGGATCTATGTATGGATAAATCTCCCTAAACCTATATATTGTAAAGTTAACAAAATTTTGTCTTATTTTTACCTGAGTTTGTAATTAGCATTCAGTGCACTGGATTCATGTGTAAGGCCAGGAGACATGCTTCTTTTATAGAGCATTTTTCAAAATAATTGCCTTTAGTTACTTGTGTGTATGTGTGCAGGTCTGCGTGTACCACAGAACACATGTGGAGGTCGGAGGATAACTTTTGGGGAAAGTTCTCTCTTTACACCATGTGGGTCCTGGGGATTGAACCTAGGTCATCAGGCTTGGTGACTTGATGGCCACAGAGCCATCTTGCTGGCCCAACTTTTATTTAAGTTGTTTCTTGTATGGAGATAATGTTTCCAAGGATGCATCTAAACATACACATAAGCAAACTGCTATGTCAGCAGTCTATAAAATATTGCATTGCTCCAGTTACAGCTGCCACCTATGATGTGAATACAGGCACATTTTCATTCAAATTTACAATGGGATCATGCACACTCTTCACTAAACGGTATCATTTTTCTTGAGTTTTTACTCGAAGTGCTTTTCCCTGAAGACACCTCTGAGATCTGTGAACTCTAATTTCTCTTAGTTTATAGTATTTTAGAATTTGATGAGCACACTCAATATGCCACCCTCCTCCTGAAATGTTATGGATATGTAAAGCTTCACTTCATGCTAGAGACCTTGTTTGAAGAACCTGCAGCTCTACCTGCCACCTTTCTGTTGTGATCCTAAAGCAAGAGTCTTCCTACAGTAATACAAACTGTTGTATAACTGGAAATTATTCCTGGATTCTGACCCGCTTCCATATCACGTTACCTGGTTTGGCAGGTGCGGACTGAGAAGGTGGAATCTGCATTGCAAATCTTTGGCTTGTCACTGTCACTGGAGTTGGAACTTTATTTGGTGGGACAGATACTGTTTGTGGGGGTGCTGTAGTTACAATTGAACAGATCATATCAGTTAGATGATTTATTACATATTTATATTCTATACTCCATAGCTTACAGGAATACATCTTCAAAGTAGAGAGGGCTGATGGGAGGCAAGAAATGAGGGCAGAGTAAAAAGATTTACAATGGGGATTCTTCCTCCGTAATCCTCTCACTCTTGGGAGTTTTATTTTCCTCACTTTTCTTTAGTAAGTATGTTTACTATGCTGAAAAAGAAAAGTGTAAGTTTGCTTAATTTTAAAGATTACACCTTTAATAGAAAGTTTCGGGTAAGATTTATATTCTAGGAGCTACACTCTAAAGAACGTGAAGAAGCAACTGGTAACAGGTTGGCTCACTTGCCTGTTACAGTAACTGAGCTCTACACCCTGCTCCTCTTCTGTGTGCAGTGGCACACACCTGTAGTCCAGCTAGTCAGGAAGCAGAGACGGGCAGAGCACCTGAGCTTAGGACTTCCACACAAGCCTGGGCAACATAGTGAGATAACTTTCAAAAACTCAAAAAGCAAAAGTTGGATATTCACTTAATGTGAACACGCAGGTAAGTGGTTACACAGATTTTATACGCAAGTGTCCGCTCACCAGAGGTTATGTGTGGGTTTCTGGAGCTACACAGCTAACAAGTGTTAAAATGCTGACGTGTAAATGTATATCCTGACAATACAGAGAGATGGTTCACACCTCGAAGGTCAAATGATAGCTGGGCAGTGCTCCTCAATTGTAATCTGAATACTCAGAAGGTTGAAGGACAGCAAGTTTAAGGCTATCCCGGTACAGATTAAGGCCCAGTTTAAAAAAAATTAATCATTCATATACTAGACGTATAATGACACAGGTAAGACTCAAAAGCAGAAAGAGCCATGGAATTAATACAAGTGAAAAAGAGAATTTTTTTCCCCCGCAAAACATGAAAAAAATCAGAAAACTTTTTTTTTTTAAAATCATTACAAATATTGGTTCCTAAATACCATTCATTAAAAAGAAGTAAGGCTCTTTGGAGAAGTAGTTGATTCTAAAACCTGGACAAAGAAATATAAGATAGACTTGGAACATTGTATGTCAGAAATGTACACAGTATGATAGAGAGCTATCAAATACATTATAGGACACAGCTTGAGGACTCTCACTGATCAATATAGGATAATTAGCATGATTTCCTTTATGTCACCCAGGCTGGTCCTTGTACTGTTTTTAAAAGGTAAGTATTAAAGCCTATTTTTAAGATCCTTGAGTTTTCTGTAGATTTTAAACTTCTCTGAACCTATACCCAGTTTATCGAGATATTTCTGATTGCTTTTGTTTTTTTGAGACAGGGTTTCTCTGTGTACCTTTGGTACCTGTCCTGGAGTTCACTCTGTAGACCAGGCTGGCCTTGAACTCACAGAGATCCACCTGCCTCTGCCTCCCGAGTGCTGGGATTAAAGGTGTGCGCCACTGCCACCTGGCAAGTTCTGATTAAGTAGGTAGCTGGCAAGGGTGTGTTTGGTGACTTGAAGCATAGAAGGTGGAGAAACAGTAAAGTGTCTCTGGCATCACAGTTTATACAAACAAGAGTTGGGCCAGTGTCATTTGGGATCAGTCAGTCTGTGGTTTTTGTCATTGATGAGTAAAATTATCAATGGCAACATACTGGAGTTTTTTGACTCCCATTTTGACTTGGGTTATGGTTCCAAAGCAGAGGCTGAGACACTGTTTTTACCATCCAGAAAGGCCATTTCCCTCTTACTTACCTGCAGTAGGAGTAGTAGGTCTGCTACTAACAGCACTTAATCTAGGAACTAGTCTTCCTTGGTTAGGTCCCTAGGGGATTCAAACACAAGTTAGTGTTAATGTTAAGATTTGACACCTCAATTTGATGAAGAGTGAAACTGTAACTGTTGATGTGACTTGTTAGTGGATGATCCAATGCAAAAATATGTTTTTATTGTGGTTTTCTTTTTTGTCATGTTACTGAGGATTGAACTCTTCTGTGTATTAAATCCAATATTTGGAGTTTTGCATAATACATAATTATGACCCTATCTAATTCTGTAGAATATTTAAGGTAGAGTCTTATGAATGGTGACAAATACTAACTTCCTTGTATTATAATATTGGATTTTAACTAGTCAGTGTCTTAACTGTGCCTAAATTAAAACTGTCTTACATCAGAATTTCAGAAAACAAAGGGAGCCCAATATGGAGAGTTCCTTTTTCAGTGCTGAGAGAGCCTTAGGTCCTATGTCTGAAAAAGGTCTAATTATTGATGGCATATCATTCATTCATTATTGGATCTCACACAGAGAAAGCTATAGCAAAGTAGAAAGATTGTGAGCTATGAGATCTGGGAATCAGTCCTAGCCTACCACTGTCTCCGGGAGTTCAGGTTCAGTTGTATAATGAGAAAGATTCTCACTGGGTTAGATGAAATAATGAAGTTTCTTCTAGCTCTGAAAATTAAAAAACATTCTAAGAACTATTTTAACCTTTACTGTGCTATCTACAGGAATTTTGCTTTTTATAAGTGTACCTATTACTTCCACCTTTTAAAAAACAAAGGAACTGAAACTTCTTCCCTTTTTTTGAGATAAGCAATTCATGTAGCTCAGGATGGCCCTGAAGAGATAAGGATGGTGTTGAACTCCTGATCTTTCTGCCTCTGCATCCCTACTGCTGGGATTGCAGGCATGAGCCAGAAATTCTTACCTTTTTAATTAAGGACTTCAGTCTGTAGTTGGGAGCTGTTAGGCAGTATCTGTCAGGCGGCAGTCTAGGTCCTGCATATGGCTTAATCAGTGGCAAAGGGGTTTGATTTTTCTGCCGTGCAATATCTAGTAAAAACTAAAAGAGAAAAATCCTCATTAGAAATATAATTTTTAAAGTATAAGTGAAAAGAACTGCAAATAAATGTTTGCTCACATCTCTTGGGGGAGGCGAGGTAAAAGACTGGTCAGCCCGACACTGGATTGCCAGTCTCACATCATCTGCATCAACAGTAGGTTTCTTAGCATGACTTGAATAAATTTTTGCGTCATCCAGAATAGTAGTCACATATCCTTTAAGAGCAAAATAATTTTTATTACATAAATGAAGACATGAATATATATTAATAATTTATTAATAACAATAATAAAATATATTAATAATATATGACAGGATCTTAACTAGCCCACACTGACATCACTAGGTAACCAAGGGATACCTTGAACTCCTTCCTGATCCTCTTGCCTCCCCTTCTCAAGGGCTAGATTATAGTGTGTGCCAACCCTGACCTGAAGGCATCTTAGTATTTATATTTATGGCTCCTTGTTTTAAAAGGTTCCACTAATTTCTGGAACGTTTGTGACTTTTGGCTTTAATAACTAATTGTCCTATTCACATGATACTTTATTTATTTAAACAGACATGCTACATATAAATACTACTGTCCCTTGACTTGAGCTCCTTCTTAGTGCTTTACTCATTTCTAGATTGATAACATAATTTGGTTTAAAGTGTTACAAAAAATGATCTTTTCTAATTCACAAGGTCAAGTTTTTGTGTTTTTTTTTTTAAACTTACGGAAAGCAAATTCCAACATTTGATTTATAACCCTTGGCTCATAATCGGTGATTCCCATATCCTTCAGGATCTGTGCCATCACCTGTGGATTCAAATAAAAACAAAAAGTCAGATGCACAATGTAGATAAAGGAAATCAAGGCTGAACTCAAGGCATATTTTTGCTACAAAGTCCCAAACCGCTCCTCCTTGTGCCTCCTCCCGTGAGTGTCTGTGATCACACAAAATCAGTCCTGTGCTCTTGCTGAAAACTTTTAGCAAGGCTGGGAGTAAAGACACAAGAAAGGCCTGGACTGGCTTCCCAGGCAGAGGCAGGGGTGGGTCCAGCTGGCTGTCATTTTCGGATGTGACAGTGAGGGAAGCTAGCATCAGAACCTGTGTCGCAGTCAGGGCTCATAGACTAGGTGAAGGGAGGAGGCTGCAGACTTGGGGACAGGGGTGGGGGGGCGGCCCGGGGCTAGCGAGACAAAAGCCCCCAGGCAGCCCGCGCCCCTCTGGAAGGGCTCCCCGGAGGGCGGACGGCGCCCCAGGGGGCAGGGGAACCCCATTGCCCTTTCCCAGCTCTGTCGCCCAGCTGCAAATGGCCCGCGAGCCCCCGTGCCTCCCCGCCAGGCGCTCAGTCGGGCCGGTCACACCCGGCGGCCCCCGAGTGCGCCTGGCCTCGCTCCCCTCGCGCTTACCAAGGCATCTCTAGGAGCGTTCTTGAGAGGCGCCATCTTGCTAGGCTCCATTTTCTCCTGCGACTCTACAATCAAGGCGAGGGAGCTGCCGGCTGCTGATTTCTCCTCGCCCAGGCTCCACCCCTGTGGGGGATGGAAGGCCGGCCTCGAGTTGGGCTCGCCGCCGGCCTGGGCGGCTTCCCAGCGCCTAGCCCCCACCTGTGTGGGGGCGGCTACCCGGCGCGCGGCGGCGGCCACAGGCTCCGAGATGGAGAGATGCGGACAAGTCGCCCTAGCAACGCTGGGCGACTGTGCGCCACCCACCTCCAGCTCTGCTTGGACCATCCTCACTCCCCTTGACGACCACCGGCCCTCCTCGGAATTTCCTGGAATTCGCGCAGAGGCCCTTCCTCCACCTCTCTCAGGGGGGAACACGGCCCTGGCCCCTTACATTTGAGTATCACATTAACAATGAATTCATGCTTGTAAGTGTATTGCCACATTTACACGGGCCATATTGATACTACAAAATTATTTGCTGCTTAGTTGAAATTCAATTTTTTTTTGGGGGGAGGGGTTTCGAGACAGGGTTTCTCTGTGTAGTTTTGGTGTCTGTACTATCTTGCTCTCTGGCCCAGGCTGGCCTCGAACTCACAGAGATCCGCTCCTGCCTCTGCCTCTCGAGGGCTGGGATTAAAGGCGTGCGCCACCACCACCCGGCTGAAATTCAAATTTAAATGAGCATTTTGAATTCTTTTTCTTTTCTAAGTCTGAGAAAACTACCCAATAGACTTCTCAAACTGTGGGTCGAGACCTCTTGGGGACTGCAATCAGATATTTACATTACGATTATACCAGTAATAAAATTACAGTTATGAATAGCAATAAAATAATTTTATGGAGATTTAATAATTTTAATATTTCATATATTTATACATTATATTTAATATGTAAACATATATAAATAATTACATGTAATATATAATATAAAATTAAAATTTAATAATATTTAATAAGCTTAACGATGACCACAACATGAGGAATTATATTAAAGGGTCGCAGCCTTAGGAAGGTTGAGAACCACTGAAATAGACAAGCCTACAGAAATACCTTCTTCCCTCTGTCCCTCTCACGGTCTGAACAGTTCACTCCACTAAGGTCCAAACTGGGCCCTTTCTTGCCTCCCAGATTGCCCAGTCCCGTTTTTTTTTTTAGAATATGTTAGGCATAGGGACCAGCAAAGAGAGGGCATAGCTCTTCCCACAGGACAGTTTGACGACCCCTCCTCCTCTACAAAATGCCCCTTCCTCCTCTACAAAATGACGTTCATGCTATGGCACCAACTCTCCCGATCTCCTCCCGCCCCCTCCAAATTAAAAAGACATCAGTTAACAGGCTCTGGCTTAAAAGGTGTCAGAGAATCCTGTTCCTAAATGTGTCGACTATTCTATCTCCTGCCTTTGAAACGGTTGCCATGTCAACTAGATCAGACATGGTCTGCGGTAACATCTCTTTCCCTTAGCCTATTAATTAGGAACAAGTCTTATCAGGGTTACCTCACAAAATCACATCACATCTCATTGTGTCTTGGTATTTAGTTCCAGAGCTGTGATGGTAACATCTTTATATTAACTGCTTATTAAGCTTGAATTAGGCCTCCCAAATGAGGCTCCTTCACTTCCTTACAACTGAACAGATCTCCTAGTTATAACAAATACAATAGCTCCCCCGCCCCACATTAAACTTTAGGGGCTTAGAAAACCTTTCAGTTTGGGTAGAGCAGTTTACCTCATCAGGCACCTCAACGATCTCATCAGCATCAACCGACCTACAGATAGCCATTTTGAACTTTGACGTGCTAGCCCTGTGTATGCTAACAATGCCCCCCAGCAATACGTTATTTCCGGTGGGAATGACTCCCCACCTTAGCAACACGTTATTTTCAGTGGAATGAACCCACTTAGCAACATGTTATTTCCCGTAGGAATGACCGTGTGATTTTCCAGTGGGAACCTTCATTCCATAGCATCTTTCCCCTACTCTTAGAACAGCTGACCAGTGTGCAAAATGATTATCATTTCAAAATAAGTAGAAACTAATAAATGAGTAGTTTGACATACCGAGGTGCGACCTCAGGGAGCAGCTTCTGTACCATGGCCCTCCTGCTTCGGGGAGGACGAATCCAGGCACTGAAGGCTGTCTTCCTGGAGGCAAGGGTGTTCTGAGAACTGCCGTCTACGGTGCCCCTCTCTACAGAGTCAGGGAAGAGTGAAGGGGGAATACAACCAAATCCCAAGAATCCAAGTGCACTCACAGAGCCCACTCTGGCCCCTGAGTCGCCTAACACCACCATCTACAAGAACCTACAGCATCATGACTACAACTCAGACACCTTCCTAGACCTGAACCTGGACCTCTCCAAGTTCAGAATGCCTCAGCCCTCTTCACGACGAGAGTCACCTCGGCACTGAGCTCAGCTCATGGGAGCCCCATGCCAGTCCCATGAATTCTTGCCTGCGAGAATAAATATCAGAGTCACAAAAAAAAAAAAAAAGAGTAGTTTGTACACAACATATAACATTTAAAAAAAGAAAAGGCACTGTCTGAATTCCACGGTTTTGACTTAAAAACTTGTCTATGCGCCGGGCGGTGGTGGCGCACGCCTTTAATCCCAGCACTCAGGAGGCAGAGCCAGGCGGATCTCTGTGAGTTCGAGGCCAGCCTGGACTACCAAGTGAGTTCCAGGAAAGGCGCAAAGCTACACAAAGAAACCCTGTCTCGAAAAAGCAAAAAAACAAAAACAAAAACAACAAAAAAAACAACAAAAAAAAACCTTGTCTATGCAATATACAAGTAGTACCTTGTTTCCATTGTCTTTTACCAATGTACTTTATTATATTATTAGGGTGATTAGCCTTTAGGAAGACAACCCAGAATACAACTGTACTGAGAGGGAAATTCATAAGATAATATGTGAGAAGTAATTACACACAGTGTTATTAGTTGAAAATCAATGTTCACTTTAATTCTTTAATTTAGCTTTCTGTTATATGACTGGTATTATCTAAACAAAGCAATAAGACTAAATAATAGCAACAACTAGTGATAATTAGACTAATATGTCTAAAAATATAGACTATTTTTCACTTTTGTCTTCTGTCAACAGTTAAATTCTTGGATACTTAAAATTTATGAGTCATGCTATTGTATCTTCTTAATAGATGCACGTTAAGTTTAAAAAGTAAAATATAAACAAAATAACAAACAGCTATCACTGTTGTTTGTTTTTGCTCTTTTGAGGGGCCTGCCACCCAGCTTCCAAATAAATCACTCACGGGGACTTATTTTATTTTTTTTTTGTTTTTTCGAGACAGGGTTTCTCTGTGTAGCTTTGCGCCTTTCCTGGAGCTCACTTGGTAGCCCAGGCTGGCCTCGAACTCACAGAGATCCGCCTGCCTCTGCCTCCCGAGTGCTGGGATTAAAGGCGTGCGCCACCACCGCCCGGCCATGGGGACTTATTTTTAATTATAAATGATCAGCCTTAGCTTGGCTTGTTTCTTGCTAACTTTTCTTAACTTTAAATTATCCTGCCTGTCTTTTACCTTTGGGATCTTACCTTTCTCTACTTATGTACACCTTTCTTTCTTACTCCATTGCTGGTTGTGTAGCTGGGTGGCTGCTCCTGATATCCTCCTCCTTCTCTTGCTCCTAGATCTGATTCTATTTGTCCCTACTGCCTGACAGCCCCACCTATTTCTCTCTCCTGCCTTGCTATTGGCCATTCAGCTCTTTATTAGACTATCAGATGTTTTAGATAGGTACAATAACAGCTTCACAGAGTTAAACAAATGCAACATAAGCAAAAGTAACACACCTTAAAACAATATTCTACAACATAACACTTACCTATATTTAAAAGAAAATGAACTGCTTCTTTTGTTCTTGTGGTTTAATAAGATTTTAAAAATATTTATTTTCCTGTATATGTGTATGCCTGAGTCCAAGGAAGTCAGAAGAGATGTCAGATCTCCTGGAACTGGGGTTATAGAAGGGTGTGAGCCACCGTGTGGGTGCTGAGAACCAAACCTGGGTCCTCTGCAAAAGCAGTAAGCATTCTTAGCTGCTGAGCCAAAGATCTTTATTAATGTTTCTGTTCCAATACAGCTTTTGGGAGCTTCTTCTTTTCTGTTGTGTATCGATAAAAGCTGTGTAGCAAACTTTCTTGTTGGACTATCTTTGGACTGCCAGTCCACAAATAATGACCCAGAGATTTATTATTAATTATGAAAGCTTGGCCTTTAGCTTAGGCTTGTCTCAACCAGCTCCTATATCTTAATTAACCCTTATTTTTAAGTCTAGGTTCAGCCATGTGGTGTTACCTCTCTTCCATCTTACACCTCCAGTTTCCTCTCCTTGTCTGGCTGGTGACTCTGCCTTTTTTTTTTCTCAGAGTCCTCTCTGTCTCTAGAAGTCCTGCCTAACCTTTTTCCTGCCTACCTATTGACCATTTAGCTCTTTATTAAAACAATCAATCAGAAGACTCCTTGGCGAAGATACCTCTTTAAAAAAAAGATTTATTTATTTACTATGTATACAGTATGTATGCCTGCAGGCCAGAAGAGGGCACCAGTTCTCTTTACAGATGGCTGTGAGCCACCATGTGGTTGCTGGGAATTGAGCTCAGGACCTCTGGACACCTCAGTCAGTGCTCTTAACCTCTGAGTCATCTCTCTAGCCCCCAACTGTTTAGTTTTTCTTTTCTTTTTTTCCAGAGCTGAAGACCGAACCTAGGGCCTTGCACTTGCTAGGCAAGCACTCTTATCACTGAGCTAAATCCCCAACCCCCCCGCCCCCCCCCGCCCCCCCCCCCGTAAAGATACCTCTTTACAGCGTAAACAATATTCTGTAACAAAACTGAACACAAATATAATATTCACCTTTATATACAGCCCAGATCTTATCAAGATGCTATTAGAGTGATTTTCTTTTCTTTGTTTTTTTAAAAGATTTATTTATTTATGATGTATATAGTGTTCTGCCTGCATGTATGCCTGCGGGCCAGAAGAGGGCGCCAGACTCTCATCACAAAGAGATGGTTGTGAGCCACCATGTGGTTGCTGGGAAATGAACTCAGACCCTCTGGAAGAGCAGCCAGTACTTTTAACCTTTGAGCCACCTCTCCAGCCCTAGAGTGATTTTCTCATGTTATTCTAGTATAATACATTAAGATAACTATCACGCTGGCAAGATGATTTAGTGGCCAAGGGTGCTTGCTGCTAAGCCTGGTGACCTGAGTTCAATTCTCTGAACACACAAGGTGGAAGAGGTGAATTGACTCCTGGAAGCTGTCCTCTGGCCTCCACACGTGAGAACACACACACACACACACACACACACACACACACACACACACACACTCACACTCACACGTAAAGAAACATAATAAAAGTGTGAGATAGAGATCCATTCAAAATACATCTTTGCATTTGTAATACTTAAATTTGATGTGCTAGAAGCAACAGGATTTAGACTTGGAATTAGTTCCTAGTTGTCTAAAAAAGTCTCCTCTTTCGATGCTAGAGGTTTGTCTTTATCAGCTAACCTGGCCCTTTGCGTTTATGTATATAGACTGCCCATAAAAAAAATCGATCAGTTTTGAACACTTCAAAGTGCATTGGATGTTATCATAAAGTCTGTCTTTAAAAAAAGTTTTATTAGCTGGGCAGTGGTGGCACACGCCTTCAATCCCAGTGCTCAGGAGGCAGAGGCAGGTGGATCTCTGTGAGTTCGAGGCCAACATGGTCTACAGAGAGAGTTCCAGGATAGCCAAGGACAGCTAAGGACAGCTAAGGCTACACAGAGAAACCCTGTCTCAGAAAACCAAAGGATTTTAATTTTAATTGTGTGTGTGTGTGTGTGTGTGTGTGTGTGTGTGTGTGTGTGTGTGGTGGTGGTGGTGGTGCGTGTGAGGCCAGAGGAGGGTGTAGGATCCTCTGGAGCTGGAATTACAGATAGTTGTGAGTAGCCTAATGTGTATGCTGGGAACTGAACTCAGATCCTCTGCAAGAACTGTAGATGATTGTAAATGCTGAGTTATCTCTCCAGTACCAAATCTGTTTTTCTTAAGGAAAAAAAAAAGTCTTATAGCACAGAACTAATTTGAATTTGTGCGACTGAATGGATTCCAGGTAAGTTAGAAATACACTGCATTGGTCTCCCCTTATCTTCAGGGGAAATATTCCAAGACTCACATAAGATCCCTGGAACTAGGGATGGTATTGAACACACACACACACACACACACACACACACACACACACACAGAGAGAGAGAGGGGGGGGGAAGGGAGGGAGGGAGGGAGGGAGGGAGAGAGAGAGAGAGAGAGAGAGAGAGAGAGAGAGAGAGAGATTTCCTCTATACATATGTATGATAAACTTTTAATTTTTGTTTGTCTTTGTTACATCCAAATTTCCAGAATTACTAATCTTGTGCCTTGGGGCCATTTATAAGTAAAATAACAGTCATTGGCCCACGATGCCCTGCAGCAGTTCATGTGACAACTGAAATAGTTACTGACTCATTGGTGAATCCATGTATAGTTGGGATGTGCTAGACAAAGGGATGAGTCACTATGGGAGGGCACAAGAATTTAATACAATACCTAGAGCAGCTTGCTATTTATAATTCCTGAATTATTAATTTCTGGAATTTTTCATTTAATAAGTTTGGACCATGGTTGACAACAGGCAACTGACATTGTGGAAAGGAAAAACACAGGTTTAGAGAGATTTCTATGAAGAAATGAGAGCACTGTTTCACTTGGGCGCTTTTTCTGGTGACTGTGTGTGCTCGTGCCTGCTCTGAAGCTAGCTGATTTTCAAACACAGCTCACTCCTTTTTTCTCTATCTTGTATGAGAGTTGTTTCACAACCTACACATAATGTCTGTGCTGATTAGTCCTTTGACAACTTGACACAAGTCAGGATCATCAACTGAGAAAATGCCTCTGTAAGACTGGCCTTTAGGCGAGTCTTTGGAGTGTTTTCTTGATTAATGATTGATGTGTGAGGGCCCGGGCCACTGTGGGTGGTCCGCTGCTGGGCAGGTGGTCCTTGGTTGTATAAGAAAGCAGGCTGAGCAAGTAATGGGAAATAAGCCAGCAAGCAGCGTTCCTCCATGGTCTCTAGTTTAGTTTCTGTCGTGACCTCCCTGGATGATAGACTACAACTGTGAGATGAAATGAATCCTTTCCTCCTCAAGTTAATTTTGGTCATGGGTGTTTCATCATCTCTTCCAAAATAATCAAGCTTTTTTTGAGAAACAGCATATACATAGCTGTTTTAATATTGTCTATTCTTACCCCCAGTGCATTTCCAAATTAAATGAATTTCTTTCTTTTTCCACATTAATAAACTTTCAATTTATATCAGACTAACATCTTAGCATCTTTTCTACTGCCAACAACAGAGATAATCACTTTGCAGGTATATGTCTTAAGTTATCCCTTCCATTTCAGTAAACTAAAACTTTTCAGGTACCTTTGTACGTTTTAGG